TCATGTACATTATCCTGGATACAATTAGTTGGTACCTTATGTAACCTATGAAGAGGAGTTAAAATAGTAGCTGATCTTGTTGCCAAAACTCGAAAAAAAAGCTGATTAAATTGAATACCATTTTATTACACCAAGAATAGTTACAAACGCTACTTTAAACCTTATCTATCCAACAAACATTATTGAGAATATGTTTTTATTGGATTGAAGTAAACTGATAATACCTATCTCATAAATATAGCTCATTATATCGTTACAATATTATCCATTCGTGAATTTCTCCATCTGTCTTTAAAAGACAGTGTTCGTTTTTTTTCAAAATAGGTTTTATACTTACATGCTCTATATTCTACATTTATTTAATCGTATCATACAAAACTCGGATTACTTTGTTTAGTTATACAGCAAATAAGTATAGTATCTAACGTATTTCATGACATTTGATCAGTCGGCTGAATCGACGTTGACCAATGTAACATTTATTGGACACATCAGTGTTCACAACAAATAATATCAATCTTCAAGCATCCATAAACCTGCGTTTTGAAAAGATTACTAATCCATATGGTTCTTATACTTTCTCATAGAATTAACCCTGAGTTGTTTAGGGTCACAATTAAGAAAAGCTATTTTATCGGTTCAAGATATAGATAGTCGTAGTTCCAGTAAAGTATAGCAGACAGTCGTTTGGACATTGTCTGTCTGCGCATTCACTAAATGCAGGAATGTTTCTACTTACCTTCGAAAAGCTAAGTGATCAAACATAGTAAGTTATAACAAGATGATACTCAATTGGGTAGTTTAAACCAAAATTAAAGACTCGTAAGTAGTAGGTCTTAAGGTATTCCAGATCAGTAAACAGATAATAGTTTCGGTATTTCAAATGCCTATTTAGAAAATATTTCTTTTTTATTATTTCATTTCAATAAATGTTGTATTTTATTCATTTCTGTAGTGATCTTGTATCTGCTTATGGTAGTAGTATTTTATCACTTGTGGAAGTTGATGGAATCGCTTCTGTTTTACAAAGAGGCAGACGTGCTAAAGCATCTCGAACTAAAAATTTAGCAGTTTGGGCTACAAAAGAAATTCGAAAATTAAAAAATACAACTAATTCAACAACTTCTGTTTCTAATTCAAGTTTGTCTCATACAGCTACAACTATTCAAGCTTCTCCTTCAGGATAAAAAAATGTAAATATTTCTCCTTAGTTAACCTTTTTTTATTATAACTTTTCTGCTTTATTTGTCACTATCCTCCCCCCACCACCACCACCAACAGTCGTTCTTTACATAATTTAGTTTAGTCACACGACCATTATGTTTAATAAACGTTATGAAACATCTCTTACTCGCTGCGTACAACAGGGTAATTAAAAACTAAGTAATTACAATCCTACTTGGTATAGCTTGGCTTGTATCTTCCCATTGAGGTTCAAGACTGCGATTGAGCAGTCTGTTATTAGCATACTGTGCGTATGCCTCGATATTGCCTTAGTTCACAAGCTTTGTGTAAGCAATGATGGATAGTGGCTAGCAGTGGAATCCAGGACGCGCGTTTCGTCCTATTTGGGACTCGTCAGCTGGATCCTACAGTCAGTTATGTCAAACTATCCCTAGTATAAAAACCTAAAGATATAGAGTGAAAAATTACTACTAATAACATTCTACTATGAAATCCACCTGTACCTTTTATAGAGTTACTGCCGGTCCCAAGCCCAGGTAAAGAAGAGGGGGGGTCGGCAACTCCGTCCTGTAGAAAGAAATCTTGCCAACCAGATAAAATCCTGAAATGATTATTCTTTCTTGTGAAATGAATAAATCCCCCTTAACAGCTAAAAAAAATATCCTACTCAACTGAAGCTATTTTCTGATGCCCAGATCGATATCTTGTTGATTTGTATTGTTTACGTTCGTTTTGAACAAGACAAATTAGCATACGATGGATATTTCGATTATCTTCTATCCAATATCATCCGCTGAATTGTGACTAGATGTTATGTAGAACCATTCCTAATCACTTGTACATAACTGTTTGAACTGGAGACCAATGATTTGGGATTCAAAAGTGTTATTCATTTTTTGATAAATGGTTATTGGTAGAGTATTAAACCATTAAATTCAATCAGATGCTTCGGCTTAGTATTCTTTCCGTTATTGTTTCTGTGCTTGTATGTATTGAACTTGATTATGAATGCTACGATTACTATGAGACTCAATAACACAACACGATGTCAAGCAGTTGAATTGAAAAAAAAAACGAAGAATAGTACATATGTCGTTGACTTTAGTGTTAAAGTAGTATATACGCGTTCTTATCTATGCAAAGGACAAAATATGATCTTGTTTGTGAATTAATTAGCTAAGCAACTGATTTCAAGTAAATGATCACATTCTTGGGTTATAATAAGGTATGTTTGTCCAAAATTTGTGATCATATAAAGAACGCTTAATTACATAGTTTTTTTTTGTTTTAAAAATTTCAGGTTCAGTTCAAACGACCCTCTATTTCCATTGAACAGCTTATCCTATGATTTGTACATTCTGCGAAAATAAAAAAGAAACACTATCTTCTAATTGTCTTTTTCTTATTGATATGCTTCTTTCTGTCACAAATGCACACATATATTACAAAGAGTTTCCCAAATTCTGTCTTTTATAATCAAATATATACATACTATTATCAATTCAAGTTGAATTTCTATTAGATTTTATTGCATTTAGTCGAAATATATGATGTTTTGAAACAGCTGAAAAAGTTGTTGTATTCCTGTGAGTTTAAGAAAGCCAGCTTTCTCTCTCGAATAGTCACGCGTATACAGTCATTGCTGGGGAAGTCCTACCCATTGCATTCTCGTGGCGGGGGGTGTTGTTTACGAAATTGAGAGGATGAAGAGCGAGTGTGCGGCGCTTTAACCGGGTTAGTGTATATGGATGATCCACCAAGGGAATTTGGGGAACCCTGATTCCAAACCAATGGTGGACATGAGCCCCAGGATCCTGGGGGAACAAATGGTATATGAACCTGTTGTTAATCATCGGCCACCATAGGACTGCATTTTCTGACGTTGTTCCACTGCCTTGTGGATCAGACCTTTAGGTCGAAGGCTCCTAAGGAAACCACCTGTTTCAGTCTTGGCATCCGGGTACTATCATAACCCGCACATAAATCAAGTGAATTGAGTGGCGCGTATGTATTCAGTGCTTCTTTATATGACTTTATGTATTCAAATAAGTAAATAAATAGAGTAAGTTAGTATTTACTCATTTGTACCAATTAATTCGCGTTAATATTTATAAGATAATCGAATTTAAGAAGGACACATCATAGTACTTTAGCATGTAGATTATCATGATTTGAAAACAAGTGTTTCTTATCATCTATGTCTACCAATCCGTGTGTCGTATTCGCCGCGCGTCAGAAGTAAAAAAATTTGAACATCAGTAAGTAGTTCAGGATTTCATGTTATATTTATGATGCAATATCGTAAGAATTTTAGACCATATATTGCAAGCCATCTTCGTTTTGGTTTGCACTGCGAATATTATTATTTGTAGTCGCACAATCTGACTCGAGGTCAGAAACATAAAATTACACTTTGTAAATGAGCTACATTGTTATTATTAGTACATCGACTTCAAGCTAATAAAGTTGCAATAATCGACCCAGCTACTGAAATTCGGGAGTGCTGTCTGCATTTAAGCAGTAAGCTTAGCATACGAAGGTCATTTGCGGAGTTATCTACAGTCAGTGCTCTTAGTTATAAAAAATAAAATTCTTCAAGCCGGATACTCTAAATATGCTATTTCTGGATAAAAGCAGTACGCTCTCAAAGATATTGCTTCTGTGGAGTAAGGCACATCATCCGTAATTAGTGTTAGACTACATCCTCGGATATATACCTCTTTGAGTCAACAGATGTCAGTTTAGATATAATCGCATAATTAATGCGGAGGCATAACTTTAGAGACTATCATGATATTATTTCTAGGCGCTTGCTTGATCCATAAGTTTCATTTATTTTAGGATTCCAAATTTATCACTAATTAATTGTTACTCTCGTTTGTATCGCTTATGACTGAAATATACAGGTTGTTATTCCTTAACTGCGTTGCTGTGTGGTCAAAAGTGTATTATTGGATGAGTTTTGAGTCATAACTAGGTTATATTATTCTAAATAGCACGTCTAATCTTTACAAAACGTCTTAATAACACAGAATATTTTGCAATTTACATTCAAAACCCTGAACTCTACATTATTCAGTTCACTTCTTTGATACAATAAAGGTAACCGCTGATTCTCCAATGGCTATTAGCTTTCAATAACTGTCCACATTAGTTGAAATCAGTCAGTAATGGAAACTTTTCTAAGAATATCGATGATCTATTTTGTTTTTCGATTGATTCATTATTACACAAACCAGAAGAAAGTGATTGGTGTTACCATGTAGACTTATCAAGTGAATAAACGTCACATCTACATACTGCAAAATCACCTTGCAATGCTTGGTTTCTTCTAAAATTCATACTACGGAATAGTATGTGAAAAAAACGATCTCTATCATTTATTAGAAATGATTATTCTTATTATCAACTTTATAATGTGAATCGTTTGACTGTTAATCGAAGCAAGAAAAGTATTTTCCATATTGGTGTCACCATCTTAAAACATTGACTTCGGTGGCTTGGACATGTTTTACGAATATCGTCCAAGAGAATTCCACGTCGTGCATTATTTGCCGACGCTGGGACTGGTTGGAGAAAGCGGAGAGGTGGTCAGTGTATGACATGGTGTCGGGATATGAAAGAAAGCTGTAAAGCGCTGGCTTGTGTTGGTCCTCTTCACGACTCCCTGGCTGGGGTCCTAGAGATGGTACAACACAGTGGCTAGAGACGTTATCAGATATGGCTCAGAAAAGAAGCCAGTGGCGATCCTGCTGTAACCTTTTACTTTCTTCTTCTTGTAGCAATACTTATGTGTTCGAATAAATAAAATCAACTTTATAAGCGATATATATATTTAAGGGCCTATAATAATAATGTACATGAAGAATTTGAACAGTTTAGAAATGTATCGAAATAAGCATGTAAGTCGAGTCGTAAGAATCACTAACGAAACATACTACATTTCAATCATATAAATAGAGAGAAAGCTGTATTCAATATACAAATATAACAATGTTATATAGAAATGAATAATACTCATTTCCTTGATTTTACACGATCACGTTGACGTGTATTATTTTTGCGTGAATTATTTAATCCATATGTTGTTGAATTAGTTAATGATGATTGATTGGTAAGTTTGGTTGATGAATCGTGATGATGATGATGATTTGTACCTGAGATAGATTTAACTGATGGTTTACGGCTACCAACAAGTGGATGAACCTTGAGAACAAGTTTTTTTAAGAAAGAAAGAAAATGAAAGTACAAATGATGCAAAAATATTTTCTATAGTTCACTGATAATTTATACACATACATTAAGTCAGTTAGCTACAACGTAGGATCGGGCACATATATGCACCGGTCACAGTTGCCATACCTCATTAGCACAACAAGATGAACACTACATTCATAGAAATAGTTTCTTCAATGGTAGTAATATATAAAAGGAAGATTATATATAAGCATATAGTACAAAAAGAAAGAATTAGTTGGTAGGAAGAAAGATATACAGTCAGTCAGTTACAACGTAGGATCGGGCATATCTGTGCATCGGTCCAACTTGCCATACTTCATTAGCACAATAAGATGTATACACATACATACTTTATTTTGATTGTGAAATACAATAATTATGTACTTAAAACTTTTGAATAGTCTATGGGGATATTTTAAATGATTAAAGATAGGTGTAAAATAGATGAGTGATGTTTGATATAACTAACATATTTGACAATAAAATAGATAAGTCCATGATGAAAAACTACTCATTGTAGAGGTTTATGGTTGTGTTTAATCTGCAAACGTTATCTAGCTAGTAAGAAAGTCAATTGAATTTTGATGGGAAGATAACTGATCACTTTTCAAGTTCTGGAACATGGGGATAATGACACCCGAGTTCGATTCTGTTGACGGAGTGGTTCTGAGAAAGCGTTTCTCACTAAAAGGCGTACTAAATAAGTATATGATCACTCATATCGCAACCAACTAGTCCAGTAAGATCGTATAGTCAGCCTCAAATAGTGTTCTTCAAGGTTGTCCACTATATCCCTTTCATTTGATTACGTGATAAACGTACCAGCATGAAGTTGTGAAGGTTGTTGGATTTTTATTGAGACCATGATAATTATCATTTGCTCACTAGTGACTAGCTTTGAGAGGTAAGTCTCGGAGTTCCAGTGAGAAGCCGTGACCAGTGGAGTTCAACCGTGTCGAGTGTAGGGCAGTTACCCACCGAAGACAACTGAAGATAGTAGATTGGTTGAAAATAGACATTAACACCAGTGGATTCCTGCCCAGTGGTATAGAGGTTGAACGTTCGCACGCGAGACCAAAGGTCTTGGGTTCGAGTCCGGCGTAAGGGATCGTGAATGTGCACTGATAAGCAGTCCCATACTTGGATGAAACGGCCATCCACTACTTTCAGGTTTTCAATGGTGGTTTAACATTGATTGGTTCATGATCTCAGTAAAAATTTGATTACATTGGAGCTGAAGAAGCACTGGACAAACAGTTCAATACAGCCTTCCTTCGAGATATTCACAAACTCGCTTAGTTTTTCTTCCTCTTCTCTTTATTTCAATCTCCTGCCGGTAATTATTTCACTTCTTATTCCCGCTAAATACTACCTATGTCTGTCCCCACATCACACTACTATTAAGAAAGTTAATCAGTCATTGTGGATCAAAAAAATTATGAAGAGTATAATTGTGTTACCAGATGTGCACTGCTGTGAAGTCCCATAGTAGGATGAAATAGCTGTTCAGTGCTCCTTGGTTCTCAATGGATTTTTAGATTAGGTAGATTCGTGATAATAATATCACTCAATAACTGTCACAAACACCTATACTAGTAGTGAATATGTAAATCGACTCTTTTATGTTAGCATTAAATCAATTAAACAAAGTCTAGTCAATAATTCATCCTACCTCATCACTTTGTGCACCGGGTAAATGAATCGAAACTGTTGGTGGTATAGAATGAGTTTGATCTAATGATTTTGAATGTTTCGATAATGGTCCATTGGATTGAATCGATGGAGAATCAGGACGTTTTCTACTTGATAAACCAGTTGTTGGTCGTTCAGAATTCTGTGTACTGACAGATTCTTCTCCACCAGATAAATCATCTGGATTATCCACTTCTGGTGAAATGGATAAATACATCAGAATATCTTCACATTCTCCATCTTCATCACTGAAATCATAATTAAAATATTCAAATGATGGTTTATACAAATCATTGATGGGATAAAACAAATGTTTGTTTGTAATGTGGTTTATAAAACTTTGAACAGGATGGACATCACAGTAGTTTTTGTGTGGGAAATTCATTAAAGAATCACTTATACAGAATAGTGTTTTTTTAAAGTATCACAATACATGAGAATAAACCAGCATTTGCATTTAACACTTAACTATGTCACCGCTATTATCTCCATCTTAAGAAAAACCAACTTATCTTTATCAACTTGAAGATCGTTGAGAGAATTCTCTCAGTCATTTAAGTATATATACATATCTACATTAATTTGGTATTTGTCTAGTCGTTTTCGCTGACTGAATTGAAACGAACAAGTTGCAATACAGGCACTGATCTAATTAACCTGATAAATCAGTTAAAGATCAAATAATTTAGTGGTAACATGTCAGATTGTGAAACTGGATGACGGAACCCTAAACCTGATTTGATATCATCAAAGAACAATGACATATGAATTCATGTTGAGATATTCTAATAATCTAGTAGCCAATCAGTTAGTTAGTTAGTCAAATATAGTGTAGAACCTGGCGTATGTGCACATCGGTTCAAGTTGCTTTATTCCATTAGCGCAGCAAGGTAAAAATATAAATAAAAATACCAGAGTAGTAGAAAGAGCAACGCCCCCAAATGCCCTGGTACGGTCGAGGGTGGGGACAGTTCGCTCTCCCTCTAGAAATGCTCTCATATGGCCACACGTATACAGCCACTGCCAGGGAAGTCCTACTCACTACCTTCTCGCGCCAGGGGTGTAGTTTACGATATTGAGAGGACGAAAAGCGAATGTTCGGTGCTTTAACCGTGTTGGTCGATGCTATATCTAGAGCTCAAATTCTTGATATACCATTTACAAATTTAGCACTCGAACGTTAGAACCCTTCAATTCGCAAATGAGAAGATAGAAGACAAGTAAAAGAAATGCTATTCCAAACCATCAAATATGGTACAAAACTCTCAGATATTTATAGTTTTTAGTAAAAAGGAAATCATCATAGTCATCCAATCCGCATACAAAGGTGTTTGACATTTGTCCAATAGGGAAGCCAAATGTAGATTTTCTGGAATACTCTTCTAGAAGATGATTGGATGGAATGCCTTTGGCTCTTTCGGAGCTTCCTCAAGTTCATCCGTGGGCCGTCCTCACAGTGGATGTGGAGGATTCACTTATGGGAGTATGAGAACCCTGATTCAAAATTAATGGTGCATATGGGCTCCAGGACCCTAAGGGAACAAATGGTGTATGAACCAATTACTGGTCACCGACGTTGCTCCACTGCTTTGTAGATTAGACCTTTAAGGTCGAAGGCTCCGGGTGTGGCCCCCTAAGAAAATCATCTGCTTCGGTCTCGGCACCCAGGCAGTATCACAGCCCACACACAAATTAAGTGACTTGTGTGGCGCATATGTATTCGGTGCCCCTTTGTACCAATAGTTATGTGTTCAAATAAATAAATAAGTAGCAACAAAGTTGAAAGGATTAGACATAAACAATAGGATCCCAGAAGAGAAATCTATTATATAGGTATAAAAAAATTCATGATTGAAGAAAGGATGAAGAGTGAACGCATGTTCTCCACTAAGACCGGTCCCGACCCGTTTTTACCCTACTTCCCAAACGATTAATTATTATACTTACGTAGAACATAATTAGGTAGTCTAAATCAACCAACAGCCAGTAGCATTATGGAATGATATGATATTATGGCTTGATCGTCAAATTATCTTTATACCAGTAAGTATCTTGCTTTGAGGTTGGCAGTGGTTGGGCATATCCCAACCACCTCAGTTGATGAAGATTCACTACCTCATCAACCGATTTGCCATCTCATCCTAGTAACCTGTGTCTAAATTCAAGATATTTCATTCAATGGTTAAAACATTATGCTGTGAATCGCAAATCTCGGAATCCATGGATTGGATTTTTTACGAAAAGTGTTAAGCACCCTTTGAAAATTTCCCAGTTAAATCTAGACATACATCAGTCTTGAAAATAAATCATCATGAGTTCAAAAGACTAACAACAACACATATGTGACAATTTCTATATTGTAATTTAAATCATTTACAACACTGGATTTTTTTCCGGCAACATGTTTGACTCTACTGTTAGATACACGAATTCAAGATAGGAATTCGAAACAATGTTGTCTCCAAAATACGAATAAAAAGGGAAGGTGAATATTTCCAACCAACACTTGATATTTAGGTACCTTAGATAGAAGCTCATTGTAAGTGATTATAAAAGGCTAAAGTATAGCACACTTAAGAATTTTATATAATAAAAATTGTCATGCAGTACGGGCTACTACCAAATAGATCTCAAAATCAACTAGTTTGATTTTAACATTGATTTAACAATTCAATTACACTACATCAATACTCAATTTCAAAGAATTGATAGAAAATCAATGACATTTACAGTGGAAAAAAAGGTACATCACCATGAGGGTAGACAAACAAAGCGTATATATATTGGATAACGGCTAGTCGCCTCCCAAATGCCCTAATACAGCCGATGGAGAGAGTCCGCTTTCCATCTCAAAATGCTCTCGCATATAGCTAAGCGTGCATAGTCACTGTCTCGCAAGCCTTACTAACTACCTTACAGCAGGAGTGTTTACGAAGCCAATAGGACGAAAAGCGAGGGTCTGACACTTAAATTGGGTTGTTGGTTATGGTGGATCTATTTAGGGGAAATGAAGAATCCTTATTCTAAACCAATGGTGTACATGGGTTACAGTATCCTGAAGGAACAAATGGCGTATGAACATATTCTTGGTTATTGTCTTTCATGAGACCACGTTTCCTAACGTTGTTGCATTACCTTTTGGCTTGGAGAGTGGTTCCCTATGAGAACCATTTGCTTCGGTTTGAACACCCGAGCAGTATTCCAGCCAACGCAGAAACCCAAGGATTTGTTGTGCAGTACATATATATTTTGGTGCCTTTTTGTACCGATATTTGTGTTTAAATAGAATAAATAATTAGAAACCAGGACATTTATTTTATTGTATTTGGTTTAACTTCCCATTTCACTGTCGATATTCCACGATATATGAAGGACTAACCATATACAAATATTGAGTAAAGCGCACTGATGAGGAGTCCCACCCATACTAGGATGAAACGGCTGTCCAGTGCTTCCAGGTTTCTCATGATGGTCTAGCTTCAATTGACTCATGAATTCAACTATTAAATTCTATCATTACTACTAATAGAAAATAAACACTACTCAATTAACAATACTCGTTTACCTGCTTAATAGAGCTTGTACCGGTTCCATAGTTTCAATATCGATTTCTACATCCTCTTCTTCATCATTATCTAAGAAGTCAGTACAATAAAGAATTGTGATTTAAACACTAACTATTTCATTTTTTTAAAATTTCAAAACACGTTAATACAACCTAATAATTTTATGCACAAAACTAGTAAATTATTAAAATGAAAACAATTCAACAATATAGAGTTATATAAATCGGATTATATAATTACAGTTAAAACTGGTATGTTATTCTGAAACATCGTGAAGTTCATTGTTACATAACAAACTAACTATAAGAAATAAGGCATAAAATTTCATATGAGGTTAGTTCTTTTTCTGACAGAGCTCCACAACCAAACCATCCAGCTCAGAGAACAAAACTCCATACATTGACATCATTTGGAGAATAGATTTTTCGTCTTCAGCAGTATGCATCCATCTGGACGATCTAGATTTCGCAGATGATCTGGCCCTCCTATCGCAATCGCAACAACAAATGCAGGAGAAAATGACCAGTGTAGCAGCAGCCTCCACAGCAGTAGGTCTCAATATACACAAAGGGAAAAGCAAGATTCTCCGATACAACACAGAATGCAACAACCGAATCACATTTGACGGAGAATATTTGGAAGCTGTAAAAACCTTTACATATCTGGGAAGCATCATTGATGAGCACGGTGGATCTGATGCAGATGTGAAAGTGTGGATCGGTAAAGCGAGAGCAGCATATTTACAACTGAGGGACATCTGGAACTCGAAACAACTGTCAACCAACACCGAGGTCAGGATTTTCAATACAAATGTCAAGACAGTTCTACTGTATGGGGCGGAAACCTGGAGAACTACGAAAGCCACCATCCAGAAGATACGAGTGCTTATTAACAGTTGTCTACGCAAAATACTTCGAATCCGTTGGCCGGACACTATTAGCAACAACCAACCAGATCCCAGCGAGGAAGAAATTAGGAAGAAGCGCTGGAAGTGGATAGGACACACATTGAGGAAAGCACCCAACTGCGTCACAAGACAAGCCCTCACATGGAATCCTGAAGGTCAAAGGAAAATTGGAAGACCAAAGAACACATTACGCCGGGAAATGGAGATAGACATGAGAAAAATGAACAAGAATTGAATAGAATTAGAAAGGAAGGCGGAGGACAGAGTGGGTTGGAGAATGCTGGTCGGCGGCCTATGCTCCATTGGGAGTAACAGGCGTAAGTAAGTAAGTATGCATCCATAATTCTATACCGTAGAACTTTCACATAATGTGGTGAGCAAGATACCCATTTAAATCAATGAATTTGGTTGATATTTCCTGATATTTTTAATCAAAGTGAGTTGTGATTGATCAATAACTGTCGACAGATACGAACAACTCCAATAAATACAAATATCCTATGTTGTAAAATTTATTCCACCTATTGACTGTTCTGTATTGTGTATTGTTCTGGTCGTAATTTGATTTCTGACTGAATGATAGGATAATTAGGTGAGTATATATATCGCATAATCAAATATTGTAACCTAGTAGTCTAATGCTAATAGCTTGAACAATTCTATTCTTCTTCTTCTTCTATGATATTTCTAAGAACAGAGTGAAGTAGAAAATTCAACGGAGTTTATTCTTATTTGTGGTGAAAACTAACTTCGGAATTGTATAAACACATATTTATAATTTCAATAGTTGAGATCATGAGTCAGTTGAAGCTAGAACACCATGGGAAACCTGGTCGGCTAATTCGTCCTATTGTGGGACTCCTCAGCAGTGCATATCCACCACCTCATCTCGCGAGATTCAAACCCAGCACCTATCAGTCTCGCGCGCGAGCGCTTAACCGCTAGACCACAGAGCCGGCATCCAACGGTGTTAATGTCTAACTTCAACCAATCCACGAAATTGAGCGACACATTCACCATTGTCTTCAGTGAGTTACTATTTCACAACAGACCTGGTTGAACTCCACTGATCACGACTTCTCACTAGAACTCCAGGAAATACCTCTAGCAATTTGACTGAATTTTGTTGCAATCAATTAATATTTCTTTGAAAAGACTAATAACTGTACCTGATAACCCCACACAAGTTAGAGTATTTAATTTTTTTTCATAATCTGATACGTTGAGCATACAAATTAATATAAATTTGTCTCCGTTTTTGAAAGTTACTAGATCTTCAAGAACACTGATAGTCTGTCATTAGTGTCAGTGCGATAGAATACTAACAACGCAGGTTGAACCTAAGCTCAAAGTAGAATACACTAATTGGTCTATTTTTAACCAATCAGTGTTAATTATTCGTACAGAGAGCTCACTAAAAGCTTTTCTGATAAATTTCATACAAACCCTTTTGTGTGTCCTTCACTGTATATTTTAGTGTGTTGGGTATTTCGGAATATGTACATTATCTCCACTCAATTCTCGTTCTGAATCGGAACTTTACATGTTTTTTTTATTTTAAAAAAAGCCTTTTCATTGGATAAAGTTGTTAATCCTATGCACAAAACTCCTCTATCCAGGCTTGGAATCGACAGTTACCTCTATAATAGCTTCAAGTTGATTTGAGTAAACTATAGTATCAAAGAAACGATAGTGTTTTGATTAATTCTAGAAGAAAACTTGTGAAGAAGTAGATGTTTGAAATTCGACTAGATAGTCAGTATCTTAGACCTTCAATACTTAAGTTTTACATTTTCATTGTTTCAGAACATATCGTAATAGTATAAACAAAAATAACTTTATTCTAAAGTAAAAATAAAAAAGGCTTCACTCAAATTGTTGGTTGATCACTAAATTCTTTCTTTTTTTTAGCTCGATTTATTAAAATACTTTTATTGACTTATATCATTTATGGACGACTTATGAGCGACGCTAAAGTGACCTTGAGAGTGTCTACCTACTTACTAGGGCTAAATGAGGGTTATAAAGCAGTTTGAAGGATAACGATTATGATTTACAGATGATAGTTAGGGTTAGGAATCACATTCAGGGTTTTCATTACGAACTGACATCAGCTATAATGCCAAGACGCTATTTGACCAAATGTGTGGGTGAATTTCGCGCCAAAATCCAAGACCTATTATCGTAAATCTGATTGATCCGTCCATAAATTATAGTCACACCTAATTTATTTGTAAATTGACGTTAATTAAACCATTGAATGCACCTTATGCATTACAATTTATTTTGTGTTCAACACACTGATTGTCAAAAAACAAGTCACACACTCACACACAAAAGAAAATAACACAATACGTTAAAATACTAAAAGTTAGGAAACTTATCTCTTTATAAAGTGTGACAATTGAGAAGTTAAAATAAGTTGCACAAAATTGTTTTAAAGTGGATAAGAAATAGTGTTATGGAGTTAAGAGATTAGTAAATAATGCAAACCAATAGCACAAATATATTCAAAAATCATCGTGACTCAGTGACCTTTAGAGTTTGGAATGATAAGTACATTAGATACCTACATCTAATTAATGTCAAATACAATGAAGTCCGCATCTTTTATTTCGTTTCTGATCTAATTAAAGATGGCAAGTCAGTTGATGAAATAGTGAAACTTCATCAGTTGAGATGGCTGGGACATGTGTTACGTATGCCAAACCACCGACTGCTCCGATGAGCGATGTTTTATGGTGTAGGAGTAGGTTGGAAGAAAGCTAGGGTGACCAGACCAGAACGTGGCACGAATCCATGAAGTCACTGACAAGTGGACTAAGCCATGTTGGTAGATGTAGACTACCTGGTTGGGGACCGCGAGATGATAGCAACCGATGGTTAGAGACCTTGAATAACATGGCTCAAAATCGTTTGCAATGGAACAGGTGCATCCACTCTTTGTGTTCTCCCAAATTCTAATCTTCCAAATTCTTCATGTCCCTTTCTTTTCTCCTTCCAGAGTTATTTCACTAAATTATACTCGTTGAATAACATCTCCAAACCTTAGTCTTTCCAATTACTGCTTATACTTTTGCTACCTCTACCACTATGGGATTTAAATCAACAATTGCATCTCTGTGCTAATATGGTATAGCAACTGGAACTGATGTATGTACACACGAAGTTCTACATTGTTACTGACTGATTTATTTCTAATCTCCAGTATAGATGTAATCTACTACGATGCATCCGTTGGAGACCAAATAAAAGCGATTAATCGAATTCGCTTCTAAGTATTAACATGGAAGAAATAAGAAATCTTTACAATACATAATAAGGAAAGGTGGTGTAACAGTTAAACCACTGAGTCAAACCTACTTTCTCATATTTTGAAACTGTTACAGACCTAAAACTGAATAGATAAACTTATACTTGACAAAGTTTTCTAAAGATTGTCATTTCACAAGAAAACTAAATAAAAAAAAGGTTAATCAACTTTAAAACAATCTCTAAATAGGATTAAGAAAAATCTAAACTAAGTTAAAGACTGAAACCTTATCGATGGATCGATCATGGAAGTGATCAAGAAATAAAACTATTCAGTTTTTGTTTTTATTAAATTCTCACTTCAAATGAATAAAAATAAAACACCAATAGCAACAACGAAAAAATCAATGGAAACTGTAATGTGATTATATATTCTTTATGTTAGACAGGTGAATAAGTTAGAAACAATAGTAATGCTTAAAGAGTAGGAAAGTGCATAAAGCATTATTGTATATATTAGATAGAGCGGGGGGGGGAAGTAAAAACAATAGGACAACTCACAACATTTTGTATGCAATGATTTCAAAGAGATTGAGTCTGTAAAAAAAGCTGAATCTTATAACAAATAATCTATGAATGTGTTGATGATGATTACAGTGATTACATAATATGATGATCAGGAGATTATGTCCTTTGGTTAATTTAAACTAAAATTTGAATGACTTTCTATTTAGTAAGGAAAGTATATCTATGAAATCAGATGTTGGCATTGCACTAGTCCATCAAATAAATATATAAACTAAGGTTATATAAACCTTATTTTGCAAAAGTGACGGGTATATATTAATCTTAATACCTTTAAAATACTAATCACTTATAGAAACATACATTGTTCCATCACTATTTCTACTGTTTAAAATATAGCTGAAAGTCAAGCTCTTCAGCTATTTTATAATTGTGTCACGTCTTACTAGAATCCCGTGCACAGAGACTTAGGCTGAATTCAGTTTATTATCTGGATAATGAAATGACTATGAAACAGCACAAGAGAACATAGGCGTTCAGTGTATTCATCAACATGAGAGTTCAGAGGCCGCCTTGGTCTTTCAGTAATTCCTCAATCTTCATAGAGGTCAGTGGAACAACTGATACACTTAAGAAAAGCGATTACCTTCGACGTACTGTGTCTTTAGATCTCCTAATATTCAGATGACTTGGACAGAGGTATCACATATCCCAGTCACATGTTATCCCACAGTGCAAAGGTGATTAGTATAAGGGAAAGGAAAATATAGAGGTAAAGAAATAAAGACGTGACATCAGTTGATAAAGTCAATAAGCGTTGATCTGAGCCCCCAAATTCCCTGGTACGGTCGAGGGTGGGAACAGTTCGCTCTCCTTCTAGAAATGCTCTCACATGGCCACGCACATACAGCCTCTGCCAGGAAAGTCCTATTCACTGCCTTCTCGCAACACAAGTGTCGTTTACGAAGTTAAGAGGAAGAAAAGCGAATGTCCGGCGCTTTAACCGGGTTGGTGGATATGGACGATCCACATAGGGGGTTGGAAAACCCTGATTAAAACCATTCGTGCACATGGACTCCATGATCCTGGTGAAACAAATGGCATATGAACCAATTATTGGTCACCGGCTACCATGGGACTACATCTCTTTACGTTGTTTCACTGCCCTATGGATCAGACTTTAGGCCGAAGGCTCCAGGTGTGGCCCCCTCAGGAAATGACCTGTTTCAGTCTGGGCATCCAGGCAGTATCACAGCCCTCACACAAATCAACGGTGACTGCTACTGGGCTCATTGTTACTGTGCCAGGCATATATATTTGGTGCCCCCTTGTACCAATGTTTATGTGTTCAAAAAAATAAACAAAATGAGCCATGTTGGAAGGTTTACGCTTCCTGATTGCTGTCCGTACGATAATCGTAGTCAGTGGCTAGAGACTTTAGGCTTAAAATCGGTATCAATGATGAAGATGCATTCAGTTTTTTATTTTTGTTTTCTAGAATTTGAGTTTTAGTATTATTCCATACATTTTATTTTTAATTTTATCTGTTCCCTCTAAACTATACTCTCGCTGACTGACTTTGTCATCATTGATACTAATAATTTAGCTTAGTTGTTTTAATTTTCACTACTGTGATAATTTATGTGTGACAATTTGGACTGGTGTACATTTTTAGTGTTCGGTGGAGAGGTGAAGTTCGCAACAAGCTCTACTAACTATCTAACTGAGAATTTTTTTTTCATACTAACGTTGGTAAGTTGGGCGAAAATTAAATCTACTATTATTGAAATTTTAATTCATTGTCGACTGTGTGAACTACGAACAGTATATTCTTCAATCGGTCATGACATTCAATTATGTCTGTTTCGTATTTTATGTTTTACAACATAAGAATGTTATTTTAATAGAGAACAGACTTGTTTTCCGGACAACTTACATTACGTTCTCTTCTACCTGAAGTTTGTGCTGATGATGTCGTTCAGAAGAATGATGAAAGCTCCACAACCAAACCATCCAGATCAGAGAACAAAACTCCATTAAAAATTACATTTTGTCTTCTTACATTAGTTCAATTGGGGAGATGGGTCAATAGCTCGATCTCGTGAGCAGTTATCTTTCGGCTACACCGTATTATTGAGTATTAACTACCAGTTGGTATTTTATTTATTCATTCAATTCGTAAAACATATACTATAAAATAAAATTGTGATTTACTAGTTTTTAAGTACGTCCTCACGATCAATGTCGAGTAACAACACCTATTCACACAAACAATTGTCTTAATTGAACCAAATACATAGAAATGTAATAAATTCTGTGTTATGATTGCATGTTTGAACTCTGTCCTATCTATTACGGTTTAGGTAACCGGGTAGTATCACTAGCCCTCATACTTCGAATTCGGCTTGGAGCCACTTACACTAAATTGTACTTAGTAAACGAATTAATAATAATAAGGTTGTAATCACACATAGAGATGCACTTACTTTTGTTCTCTTCAATCATTTTGTCTTCATCTTCAACATCGAATTCCGATTCTCTTTCTTCATATTCCACATTTTCATCGAGCTCTTTAAAGTCTGGGGCGAAAGCTGACCAGTTTTGCTAAGCGTAAAAATTTATTTTGAAAAGATTTGACAAATAAAGATTTCGCTTTTCGATCATTAAGAGATTATGGAGTATAAACGAATAATCAGATGGTGATTCTTGTTTGTTAGCTTGTTCATCTTACCACATTACCCGACAAAAAATCGATAATTGATCACTATTATCAGCTGGATATTCAATAAGAATCAGGAAGCTTAATATAGGCTATTTCATTCTACCTCAGGGCTCCATCTTAAAGTCCGAACGTCTTATTCTAGATGAAGTTATAGGTGCACACACGACTGAAAAGTCTTAAACTAACAATTAACAACATAAATGTCTAGTAAGGTTAACTGGATTATGGTCAATAGTGACTTTATGTTACTAGTTTGAACTATTCCATATACGTCATTATCTGGCTTTCCAACTTGAATTTACGTGGTGATTATAGTTCAAACAATGTAGATGACTTCCATACAAAACTGACTGATACTAATACATAAAATTCCTATATCCAAACCCACGACCGGCTACTGAATGAGAAAACTAACAGTAGAGATGGGAGTTTTTGGGGCTAAACCGGTTCACATGCGTAAGCACTCATATATATATATATATATATATATATATATATATATATATATATATATACTCCTTAGAAAATAAAACCACTTTTGGCCAGTACCATGCGCTTGTCATTAAAAGATCTTTGATTGGCACAACGTGATCACTTTATTACATTCCCGTCCTAAAAACGTTCAGCTTCTTCTGCGCTGACCATGTCAATACTGACTAACAGCATCAATAAAGTAACCCTATTGCAGTTTGGAGCCAGGGAGTTCTTAAACTGAATTCAGCCCTCTATGTCGTAGGTGGTTCACATTTCATGTCATCAATTTCGTAAACCACATCAATGGCTCTTCTTATGATGATGCCTACCACTCAGCTAGCCCTAACTGTTTCTTAGATATATTGATAACCCATGAGAGAATTAACGTTCAGTTCACTTTACTACGTGTTTATAGTTTTGCTTTATTTCCTGTGGATACATTGAGTCAAAAGAAGTGAGAGTTTTTCTCCCGGACACTGCTTAATCAGGGGCGATACCCTTGAGCGAGGCTGAGTTCAGGGTTGTTCTGTATGATCTCGGGAAATCATGGGTGATCTTACTCCGTCAAGCTCCCCTTGTCGCTTGATGAGGGCATTCTTGAAAGTATCAACGAAACGCTTAGAATGACCTTTCGATTGAGGGTGACAGGGTGGTGGTCAAATATATATAATCGCGTTCTTTAAAGAAAAGTCGGAGATTTTCAACATGAATTGAGGCCTGTTGTTTGTAACCAGTGTTCCCGGATAATCAAATTACCAGAAAAGTTTATTCAACATCGTGATCATTGATGTCGATGAGATTTGATGCAATAAGCAAACCTCTGGCTATTTTGTAAATGAGTCAACGATAACGAGGAAATGTTGACTATTTATCGGTCAGTGACATGCATTTGTCATTAGAATGTTTATTGGCCCACTGTATCAGCATTATTGGCTCTTACAAAGTTCGTACAACTTGTATGTTGATAAGAAACAAAAAAACTGTTAACGGTACATGCATTACATTTTACACATTGCCATTAATTCTACTTATTTTTTCCTACGTATCTTGTTAATTTCTTCACACTATATAATACAGTATTGTATTATTAATCCTAATTAGGAAAAATTAAACCTATTAATTGTTGTTATGTCATTTTACTAATCATTAATCTGGCCTTTTGTTTTAGTAAAAGGAGGGGATTTCCTTGATCTGTAGATCATGTCAAAAATAAAGGAATAGGTTGGTGCCCTGGTACGGCCGAAAGTGGGGAAAGTCCACTTTCCCTCTGGAATTGCTTTACCATGACAACGTGTATATAGCCTCTGCTAGGGAAGTCCTATTCACTGCATTCTCGGGGCATTACTGTTGTTTACGAAATTGAGAGGATGAAGAGCGAATGTCCAGCGGTTTAACCGGGTTGGTGGACACGGAGAGTCCACTTAGGGAAGTTGGAAAACCCTGATTCCAAAACAATGGTGCACATGTGCTCCAGGATCCTGAGGAAACAAATGACATATGAACCAATTATTTGTCACCGGCTACCATGGAACTGCATCTCCCTACGTTGCTGCACTGCCTTGTGGATCAGACCTTTAGGTCAAAGACTTCGGATGTGGCTCCCTAAGAAAGCCACCTGTTTCGGTCTAGACATCCGGGCAGTATCACAGCCTCACACAAATCAAATGAGATTTGTGTGGCACACACAACACAATAAAATAATAATAAAAATGAAATCACTAACCACTTGTGTTTGGGCCCATATAGATACTTGTTCTTTAGTCACTGAATTCGATATAGAAACAATAATTGGTCGTAAAGGATGCCAAACAACATCTAATAATGTTTCACCTTTTTGACCATGTAAAATTTTTACTAAAGTTCCACTAGCACGTTCCCATAAATAAATAGAATGTTGTTTCATTGAACCAGCGCAAATGTATTCACCATCACCGGAGAAACAACATTTTCTCCAATGACTCCTATTTATATTTGTAATTATGTTTTTAGATAAATAAATAAAAAAATAAAACAACAGAAGAGATAGAGAGAGAAGTGAATCATAAAAGTCTTTGTATGCACATCAACAAAGTTCAAGTCGTTTAAGCATAGATAAAGTTTTTTATTGAGATCATGAACCGATTGATGTTAGACCACCTTTGGAAACCTGGAAGCACTGGACGGCCGTTTCGTCCTTTTGCGGGACTCCTCAGCAGTGCGCATGTTAGACACTATCAACATTGGATGCCGGCTAAGTGGTCCAGTAGGTTAAGCGTTCGCGCGCGAGACCGAAGGCCCTGGGTTCGAACCCCGCGCTCGGGATCGTGGGTGCGCACTGCTGAGGAGTCCCACAATGAAACGAAACGGCCGTCCAGTGTTTCCAGGTTTCCAAATGTAGTCTAACACCAATCGGTTCATGATCTCAATCAAAAACTTAATAATCTCCGCAACCCCTATACTAGTAATAGATAAAGTTCTCTGAATATTATCTTGTTTTTTTATGAGTAAATAAATCTACATACAAGTGACCAATGATATTTGAATAGATACAAAGAATTCGTAGTATTATTCCCTATTTTTGTCTAAATTTTAAGTGAATTATCATTTTTAACTGTCCGTCCCTCTCTGAATACATTTTCTCAAAAATCTATTTCTTATATCTAAACTCCAGGATGTTATTACCTACCTCATGCTTCTCTCACTTTATTAATTGCACCTCATTGTGCTAATGTAATGTCTGGGCAATCTGAACTGATACATACTCATATACACAATACGACAGTGATAATGATTGATCGATGTAAGAGTATAGGCAAGAGTAAAATTGTAGAGGAAAAATCAATGAGCATAAAGTTGACTACATTGTTGTTATGAAATGATCATAAGTGTAGGAAAAGATATGAAAAAATGATGGAAAACATACAGTGTTTACAATTAGATTATTATAGTTGAGATTATCTACAACAATCTCGATGTTTAATCATTTTGTTGCATTCAATGATCTGTCATCTTGTTCATTTAGTACATGATTATTGTATATTAGGGTGTAATATGTACCAAAAATTTCGTTTCAAACTTGAACTTTCATTATAATTGTATTTCTCGTAAAGCATATTTCCATGGGATGGGCTACATTAGTATGGTTATAACACATAAAGTGCTGAGTTGAAAAGAAGGTATCCAGACACTAAACCAGTTTCTTTGTATCAAACAAATTTCGGATTGAGACAAACAAAATAAGGCAAATTTTCACATTTTGCTACCTCCAATTTTATTTACCGGTTTACATGTACGTATCAAAGCAATTACATTGGAGGAACAGAAAGGAGGGTTCTTGTTTGCATTTCGGAGCACATTCCACAACTGAGAGTAAGAGGTTAACGTGTTTTGCACGGTACAATTTTCCATCATTTGCTTGGTATCAGTCACATTGTTGATACTAAGAAACCGTTTAAAGTAATTAATACTTAAACAGCTTCGAAATGTTTTGAGTCTATCACTATTAAAAGGTTGAAAACGAACTAATGCACCTAAAATGACAGAGTCGTAAATCTAGCACAAGAATGAGAACTTATAATTTTTTTCATCCTATTGAGTAATACCTTGTCTTACGCCCACAATTATTAATCCCTATCATTTTTGCGCTATGTTTCATCTACTCTGTTAATTTATTTGACTTTATATGTTACAATGTAACTCTTGGCACAAATTCCCATTTATCTCGAAACCTGTATCAGTGGGTTTTTTTCAGAATTTTGTCTCGACTTTTCATACTAGTTAACGTAGAAATATCCTACATTTTTATATTTCTTGAATATTTATTCCCCTTATTGATCTCTCACCTAGGTTTCATGGTGTGTGAACGGCTTGTATTTATGCCAATAACATCATTGTCTGGTTTATAATACAGTTCTCGATTGTTCGTCGGCAATTATGTGTGTGTATGACGTAAATCAATCGAGTGCCCAGCTTAGCATTATGGTATTACCGTATATTCCTGTCGAAGACAAATCCTGTTTTATTTTTGCTGTTATAGAGTTAAGATTTTAAAGCTTAGTGTAAATTATCGACTAAGTACATATTTATTTATCGTACAGACGTACTCACTCCTAACTTGGAATCCCCAAGGCAAAAGGGAAAGAGGCAGACATCGAAAGAATGAATAGCACTTGGGAACTACTAGAAAGATCCTAGAACAAAGTTGGTTGGAGAATCCCGGTCGGTGTCCTATGCTTCACGAGGGGTAACAGGAGTAAGCAAGGTAACTACTCGGATTTTTAATGAATCACCAACATATTATTGTACATTTATACTTTTTTGTTGTTTTGGGAATTGTCTTATGATTGGGTAGTTGACATTATTTTACTTCTTACGGACGATTTAGATAGCTATGAGACTAGGTCATGATTATTCAGATATTTCATATCTTGATTACACAGCAAACTATTTATTTAAATTGTTATACCGCTCTCATCCGCCTTATGCTGTGTCTTATTTTAATAATTTATCAACCCCCCCCTCAATGAATATCCTGAAGCATCATCTTCGATTCCTCAAAAGTTGGTGAATTTCTCCATAAGGGGTCGTAGTTGGAAGTTTCTAATTTCTAATTTTAATTTTATTTATATTTATATTATCGCGCTTTTTGTGGCATTTGAGGTATACTTGCTTTTGGATTCACTTGGAGTTGGTGTGTTAGTGAAAGTGAAACGTGCATGGCCAATGAACGAAGGTAGAAATATCCAGTTACAGTAATATAAATAACTATTTTATGTGGAACTTTGATTTGCATTCGGATTTTCTGGTATGTTGACTATTCGTAATTTTGTCAATAAACTATTCCTTATGTGGTGTACACTACTTATGTTGACATATATAAGTAGTAAGTAACACCCATCGGAAGTAGGATGCATGTCAGCAGAAGACTGAGAAGATTCAATTGAAGAGAACAAAAAATAATTATGATAATAACACAATTGGAAGAATCAGGAAGCACGTAAGGGACAACTGATGGAAGATGTACAAATGATGTATTTAATGTATGGTTTTCATATTTTTACTAAAGCATTCTGTAATTTTGCACTAAACAATAAATTTGTCTTCTCCCTCCTGAGTATTCGTTCATTACACTTAATCTGATCTGGTTCTTAATATAATAGTTGATTGAGCTTTACAGATTTGACTTCATGTGATCTACTAAAGCGATCAATTAATCTAGTGTATCGATCGAGTACCCAGTCTAGTAATGAGTCTACCCAGTGACCAAATTTTATTGATCCTATAGTTCGTATGACTTATCTATTATTGTGTCATTAGATTCCTATTTCTCCGTTATATCAGGAAAAAACAACAATTTATCAACATTTCCATCCTGCAGTTATGTGCGCCACTTCTGTTAGTCTGGATATTCCCGGATGTATTTTACATTCGGATTGTATGGTCATATTATTCTATATAGTCAAGTGAGCCGAAAAAAAGTAATATTATTAGGAAGAATGCAATACTGAAAAGTCCCAAATGAGGTATTCAAGTTATTGTCCAAATGATGTTAGTCCACCGAAAACTAATTTCAAAATTCAATCAGTCTTTATAAAGTCCCTTTCTTAAAAAGAACATGACATTATTCACTAGTCAATAATTAAACAATTGCAAATATTTCAGTCCTAGTGGTCAGTCGGACCCAAACAATTTAGTTTATTTTAACACATAGATATTGGTACAAGGAGGCACCAAATACAAATGAGCCACACAAATCTCATTTGATGTGTGAGGGCTGTGATACTGGTCGGGTGCCCAAATCGAAGCAGAAAACAATTTAGTAGTGATATTGCAGACTGTAAAGCAAAGTGATGCTGATTTTAACACACTAAGGAGCACCAGTTCGCTCAATATTAAGGGCACGAAACCTACATCAGGCAAGGTTTTCTGCCACTACGTCCATCCACCTAACATTTCGATAGAGTACATGTGATGCTGTCACTTAGCTAGGTGGCCATACTCTAACCTGATCGATAGAATTCGATCGAAAGACATGACATATGCTAATACTTAGTGATCAATCAGTTACAACTGATATTGACGATAATGGAAAAAAATACGTTTTAGATTTGTTACAAAACAATTACCCAGTTACAAGATCCTTCAATTTTTTTATCGGCTCCGGATCCGTCACATTTGCGTTTAATGCATCTTCACAGTTATACACTCGAATAACTCGATCAGCACAATTAAGTAGGAAATATCTAAAATTTTATACAAAACACAGACCTTTATAAAAATCATAAATTTATGAAATGATAAAGATTTGCAGTTTCTTATGACATTGCATTTTTAAGGCTAGATAGCTAGCTTAATTAGGTCTAGTTTAGAGAACACAAACTTACACAAATTATTATTTATAATGTATACTTGATCTGACAATCATAGAATACTACTAACGTTGAATACTGTAAAGAAATAACGTAGACAAATTTCTATTGTCATCATTAGTCAAAACCAATCGACAAGAGAAAAGTAAAATCTTGAGGATAAGATTTACTAGACCTCTTAAAAAAGACTGGTTAGATATACAGTAACCAAATTCGAATATATTTACAATGCTCTTGCGACTAGTACGATAGAATAACTCACAGAAACATCAATAAACCTTCAAAAGGAAAGAACGTCATTCAGAGACAGACAGCGTGGGGATTTGAGAGGGAGAATGTTAATTTTATCTTCAATCAGTCAGTAACAACGTAGAACTTCGTATGTACGTACATCAGTTCGAGTTGCCATACCGCATTACCACACAGATACAATTGTCGATTCAAATCCCATAGTGGTAGAGGTAGTAAGAGTATAAGCAGTAATTGGAAAGATTAAGGTTTGGAGATGTTATTCAAGAAGTATAATCTAGTGAAATAAATTTGGAAAGAGAAAAGAAAGGGACATGAAGAATTTGGAAGATTAGAATTTGGGAGAACATAAAGAGTGGATGCACCTGCGCCATTGCAAACTATTTTCAGCCATTTCATTCAAGGTCTCTAACCATCAGTTGCTATCATCTCGTGGATCCCAACCGGGTAGTCTACATCTACCAATAGGGCTTAGTCCACTTGTCAGTGACTTCATGGATTCGTGCCACGTTCTGGTCTGGTCACCCTAGCTTTCTTCCAACCTACTCCTACACCATAAAACATCGCTCGTCGGAGCAGTCGGTGGTTGGTTATACAGAACACATATCCCAGCCATCTCACCTGATGAAGTTTCACTATTTCATCAATTGACTTGCCATCCTTACCTAGTACCCATGTACTAACAACTGTATTATTTGAGAGGGAGAATGTTAATTTCATCTTATGATCAATAAATTAAGAAGTGTAAGAATGATGAGCTCTTTATTTGTTACGATTTCTTTTATTACGACCCAACTATTCTTGTTGCTTAGCATTTCTTGGACACTGATTCACTCAACAATTCTCCAAATCAAAAGGCGGTTGAGCTGGGACGTAATTATATTCCAAATAACAAGGATGAATGGAAGTAGGAGTCACAATAAGAAAAACGTTAGTACATTTGGAACTTTCACATAAGAAAATTCTAAAGTCTTCTCCAAGTCTTTACTAGCTCTGACTGGTTAAGAAATTGTCAGTCGACCTGCCTCAACACAATCTCGCACGGAACAAGTCTTAATTCAATTTATATCCCGCTAACAGCATTTATGATACAAAGATCAAAAGCTAATTATAAACCATTTGTGCTAACTTAGTACAAGCTAAGGATATTCAACATTTTGACTATCCTTAAAATACGTATAGTACAAATAAGAAGATTGTCTTTTCGTCAGTTTGTTTTTATTGTCTCTATATACGGCTATTTAAATGTAGAGCTTGGTAATAACAACGGACAAAATAGTCATTAAGTTGCTCACTAGTGTTCAATAATTCGTAGATTGATGTCCGTTTGTGGTGAAAATTACCTTCAAAATCAAATAAATAATTAAAAATATAAGTACATTAAAGCGAAAAGCATACTAGCCAACAATTAAAGAAAGCAGTTTGAGACTAGTATTTTTCGATTCATCATAAATCCATGATTGGGGTTCTAGAGATGGCGCGACTTATTAGCTTGAGAAGTTATCATGGATAGGTTAAAATAGAAACCAGTAAAGATTCCAATATAGTTATCTTTTACAGTTTATATAAAATTGACAGGAATCTCCTTAACTTAATAAGGTCTTTCTTGATTGTAGTATTAACTTAAGTATATCTCTTATCATACACTACATGTTCATTTATTATTTTGTAATTTTACTCCCATTCTCACTCTGATTTCTTCGCTATGTTATCTTTGTATGTTATGTAATATACACTTTTTTCTGGTACTCATTTGTACCAGAATTTAAGTGCATCAAATAAATAAATACGTTAACTGTAATACACAAAAAAAAAGAATTTGAACTTACTCTCCACGTCTAGCGAATTCTATCGATTTAATGGCAGCATTCGCTGCTGACGTTGATTTAAATGAGCTGATCAACTGGAAATCTTTCGTTTCATATATACAAACCTATATGTAGGAAATGAATGGATTTTTACGATTCAATATTAAATGCATTTAGAAAGCTTTTGAAATTAAAGATAGAGAAAATAAAATTATCACTACTATTAAATTACTTAACAGTTGAATGACTAACAAGTTTTGGAAAATCTTTGAAATCAAGATATTATTGTTTATTAAGATCACGAAACCCTCAAATACCGAGGGTGAGGAGAGTCGGATCCCTCTCAAAATGCTTTCACATGGCCACACGTATTCAGCCACTGTCAAAAAAGTCCGATTCACTGCATTCATGTGCCACGGGTGTTGGTTACGAAATTGAGAGGAAGAAAAGCGAATGTCCGGCGCTTTAATCGGGTTGGTGGATATGAACGATCCACATAGGGGGTTGGCAAACCCTAATTCCAAACCAATGGTCTACATGGGTTCCAGGATCCTGAGAGAAAAAATGGCGTGTGAACTTATTTTTGGTCATCGGCCAGCATGGGACTACATCTCCTGACGTTGCTCCACTGCTTTGTGGATCAGACCTTTAGGTCGAAGGCTCCGGGTGTGGCCCCCTAAGAAAACCACCTGCTTCGGTCTGGGCATCCGGGAAGTATCACAGCCTACACACAAATCAAGTGACTTGTGTGGCGCATATGTATTCGGTGTCCTTTATGAGTTCTAATAAATAATAGATAAAAGGATCACGAAGTGATATTGGTCTATGAAGTTCGCAACTGTTGATCTAAATTATGTAAAGAACTATCTGACTGAATAAAGTCTACGAAACAACTGAGAATAACAGTCGACAAATTAATGCTGAAAAAAGGTGGTTACAGTACGGTTGAGAAAACACATAAAACATAACTGGATTAGAGCCATATACTGTTACATAGTTATTTTGTGTAATTCTCTAATTATTTATAGGTATATTTAACCAATTTTGAATCCTATATTTTGTATACATACACGGCTAGTGATTCTACTTACCTTTTCTTACCGAAATAAATGGAGAATGCTTTATTACAAATAAATGATCATTCAGTTAGCTAAACTGCAACTGACAAAATAAACTTTCAATGTCACATTATTAAGTTTTGTATTTGCCTGTTATCTGAATTAAAGGTATACATTGGTTAACACTTGATTACATTTGTTATGTGATCTAAATCTAGATCGGCCAAACAGTTAATATTCTTAATTCTAAAATCACACAATAATGTGTAAACTAAGTACAGTATACATAAAAAAGTAGTGAAGTTCAGTTAGTTATAGTGGACATAGCATGGTCCATATATGCATCAACTCGAGTTCCCATACTACATCACGAGGAGAAATTAGAGAGATAAATAGCAAGAGTCAACATAATAGTAGTACCAATTATGTTATAAAAAAAATTAAATATCAGAAAATAACGTTCGAAAAGAATAGATAGAAAGTACGATGAAACATTAAAGCTCAAGAATTAGTGCAAGACAAAGGTTGAATGGATCTGTATTGCTGTGAATGACTTTTAACAATACCATCCATCTTCGGTCATTGATCGTAGTTATTGCATGAACCCCAACCAGGTAGCCTGCATCTACAAGCATGACTCAGTCCAACGGCCAATGACTTCATAAAGTGATGCCATGTCCTGGTATCACGAGCGCTTACTTTCCTCTAGACTGTTCCTATTCCAATTAACATTTTGCGTCAATATAGGTGGTGTTTGGGCAGACATAACACATATATTCAAGCTGTCACAGTCGACAAATATTCACAGCCTTATCAGTTGATTTGCTACATTTTCCTAGTGTTGTACGATTAATTCCAGCAATACGCAATCGGCTATTCCACAATACGTAAGAAATGCTTCAAAGACACATGGCCGAATTGACGTTCATATTTATCTATCTATTTGATTCCTTAGAGTAATAGACGGAAACGTCAGAATTTTCTAGTGTCATAACCCTATTGAAACTCGGGTTTCACTTAGTTTTGTAGTCGTTTATTAATAAGTTTGTTAGGAATAACACTTAAACAACCAAAACAATTAAAGAATTATACATTAGTACATCAACATAAGTGATCAGAGTTTGAACAGCAAGGTATTACGAAGATCCATAAATTACAAAAAACAAATATGTATTAAATACCAGAAAACAACTTCGAAAACGGAGATAAGACAGCGTTTATATAGTCAAGTTACATAAAAATTTTCTAAAGAAATATTCTAACCCCTGAGTATTCTATGAACTAGCTGTCTAGTGAAAATTCTGTTGGGTTAGTTTTGAAAAACAATTATAGATTCGAACCTCAATAGAAAAACCCTGAACAAACTCTTAAACAAATTAAGAGTTCCGACATCATTGATAGAATATCTATTAAAACGAACTTTCGACTTATTAAATATCCGAAATTCGAGCATTTGAGAAGATAATGAGGAAAAATGATAAGTATTCATGAAATGAACAAAAAATATTGTTTCACGTACTTTGCCTTTTGAGTTCCCAGTATAAATATAACGACCACGACGATCATATGATGCAACAATACTAAGGTCATTCTAAAAAATAAATAACGTTACATTAGGCGCTGGGCTATACCAACTGTATAACGATCAACGATATTGCCAGATTTCTTCATTATCACTGCTGTTATTCCTATTACCTTTGCTATTCAGCTTGTTGTTTTCTCGTCATGCTTATGTGATGTGACGAATTGAGCCAACGTATATCTGTGCCAGACCTTCCCAAAACTTTGATAACCTATTGGTCCAAGGATGGATACCTTGTGGTTGGACGAAGGCGAAAATCAACAGTTAACAACCCTCTGCGCTTAGTTTAGAAACAAGAGAACCAGTAGTTACAGTGATGTAATTATGAGGAGGATATGTGAATAGCTGTTCAAAAAATGACATTGATGTTAACTCTGATTTTTGGACCAAATACTCTGTTCACAATACAGCAGTAACATAAGTTGGAAACCAGAAACGCATCTAAGCTTCGCGATGCGTTTTTGAGGGTTAGTGATATTACTCACCTTCTCAAATCAAAGTAGAAGGGAAGCGATTCTAACTTATAACCTAATGATTGAGAAGTGAATGCTCTAACCAACAGCCTGAAAATCTTCTAGATGGTACTGAGAATTATGAAGGGAATAAATTGACGTACTTTGAATGAAACAACTCCCAAAACTTTCCGAGAAATTATTTTAATCAATCATCCTCCCAAGAACTTTCTAGATGAGTGGGCCAACAAAGATCATAGTTGAGGAAGGTTATGAATCATATAAATCAAAAACAGAATTTCAGTAAGCTTAACTCCAAAAGGGGTTTATAGAACATAAACTTAGGTACAAGTATATGGAAGCCCGGAATGTGACACACTTTTCTCGGGATGTATTGATTATAACTGAATGGTACAAAAAATATTGCAAATAATGATATCGTGAAATCGAAAGACAGTCAGTCAGCTACAACGTCGGACCAGGCACATATGTGCATCGATCCAGGTTGCCATACCGCATCAGCAAAACAAGATGAACACCGGATTCATAGCAGTGGTTAGGTCAAAGGTGGTAATATATCAGAGAAAGATTGCATATAGAGATATAGTACAAGAAGAAAAAATTGGTTCGTAAAAAGAAAGGTATGAAGCGATTTTAATCTCTTAGTTTAAGAGAAGACAGAGAGTGTATACACCGACGCCATTGTGATCGATTCTGAACCATGTCACCAAAATTCTCCAACCATTGGTTACGATAGTCACGCGGACCCCAAACAAGTAGTCTGCATCTACCAACAAGGCTCAGACTACAAGTTAGTGACTTCAAGCACTGATGCTAGGTCTTGGTTTGGCCGCCCCTAACTTTCTTCCAACCATCTCCAACACCGGTTAGCATTGCAGGTCGTGGTAATCGGTGTCCGGGCATACGCAAAACGTGGCCCAACCATCTCAGTCGATGAAGATTCACAATCTCATCAACTGATTTACCATCATTCTCTAATAACCTCTATCTGTCTAACCTCACTATTACTTACCCGGTGATCCCAGCAGACGCCAGCAATATTTCTAAGGCATCTGTGGTCAAATACTAGTAGCTTACGAGTGTCTTCTAGTCTTAATGACCATGTTTCGCTGCCGTAAAGTAAAACAGAACGGACTGCCGCGCAGTATACTCGTCCTTTTATTGATAGACGGATATCTCGCCTTCGCCATAGGTGACGTAAGTTGGCAAAAGCCAAACGAGATTTTCGAATCCGTGCTGAGATTTCGTCAGACACCAACTTATTAGGGCTGATCAGACTTCCAAGATAAGTGAAGTTGTAAACGCGTTCAACTACTTCACTCCCTATCCTTAGTTCAGGTGTTGACGCAGACCAGTCCTGAAGCAACAACTTGCATTTAGAGGGAGAGAAGCGCATTCCAAACATTCTGGCATTGTTGCTTAGTGCTACCAAAAGACTCTGCATTTTGTCAGCGTCTTCACCAAACAGGACTATGTCATCTGCGTATTCTAAGTCTATAAGTCGACCTCCTGGAAGGAGATCAATACCTGAGAATTCAGTCGACGAGAATGTTATTTCCATTAGTAGGTCTATGATGAAGTTAAACAAAAACGGAGAAAGTGGACAGCCTTGACGGACACCACTTGAGGTTGCAAAAGTAGATGACAGTTCTCCATAAGCTCTGACTCGACTAGTAGTGTTCGAGTAAAGAGCCTTCTCCAGAAAGTGCGTTCGAAAGATATTGTAGTACTAGCCGGAGACTTGAATGCTCAGGTCATGCGACTAGGCACAGAAGAGGGTCGTTTAGGTGGCCGATGGGGACTTGTTAGTGGCAGGACAGATAACGGGGACCGTCTACTGCAACTCTGCACAGACCACAACCTGTTTCTGGCTAGCACTAACTTTAGGCACAGTCATCGCCGATGTGCCACCTGGCGTCCTCCCCCTGCATCTCAAGCCTGGACTCAGATTGATCACATCGCGATCAGCTACCGCTGGCGTGGTTGTGTACAAGACTGCCGCTCCTTTTGGAGTACCTATCTGGACTCTGATCATGCCTCGGTCTGCACCAATCTTGCCTTACTTTTCAGTGGCCAACGAAGTGACCGCCACCAACGGACTGATGTTAGCAACTTGGTTGCAACTTCTGTTGCAAGCAAGTATCAAACCGAGCTAGCTTCTAGGCTAGCTACCATTCCACCGAAAAGTATAGGTGAGCATTGGTTGCAATTGCATGACGCCATGAAAATGGCGGGTACAGTTAGTTGTGGGTTTGCGAAACGTCCCGCTTATAAGCACTGGGTTTCTCCAGGCTCCTTACAACTCATTGAAGCCCGTCGGTCTACTCCGGGTGACCGAGAGTTTGACCATAAACGAAGGATGTTACGTAAGGAAATTGGGCAAAGCTTGCGTAAGGACCGAGAAGCCTGGTGGTCGATGCGTGCTAATGAGCTGGAAGCAGCAGCTGCATCTGGCAACTACCGGAAGCTCTTCCAACTCATCCGAGCCACTGGCAGCAAGAAGTCTGGTGTGAGCGAAACAATCTGCGAGGATGACGGGATGCCAATCACTAACATTCATCGACGTCTTGGACGATGGGCAGAATTTTTTGAAGGGCAGTTCAACTGGCCTGCTGCTCCGGCAGCATCGGTCGGACTGTCCTGCCCCCCATGGCCGGTGAAGACTGATCCACCAAACGAGAAGGAAGTCCGCAAGGAACTCCAACTCTTGAAGCGCTACAAATCATTTGGCCCAGATGACTTACCTCCGGCCCTTTTTAAAGATGGTGGTGACTTTCTGACTAAGGAATTGACGACGTTGTTTACAAAGGTTTGGGAACTAGAGAGTGTACCAACGTCATGGAATGAGTCGGTAGTTGTCCCTATCTTTAAAAAGGGTTCACCTCGTTCCTGTAACAACTATCGGGGGATAAGTCTACTTCCGATTGCGTCCAAGCTATTGGCTTCCGTCATACTTCGTAGGTTGTTCAAAACCTGAGAAAGATTGACTCGCGAGGAGCAGGCTGGGTTTCGTTCTGGTCGAGGATGTATTGATCATACCTTCACCCTTCGCCAAATGTTAGAACACCGCCATACTTTTCAAAGGCCAACAATCGTAGTGTTTCTTGACATCAGGGCTGCCTTCGATTCGTTGGACAGGACTGTTCTCTGGGATTGTCTATTGAAGAAGGGTGTGCCTGAGAAGTTTATTAACATCCTAAAAGCCCTATATAAAAACACCTCAGGGAGAGTGAGGGCATACAACCACCTTTCTCCATTGTTCTATTCGAGTAGTGGGGTTAGACAGGGTTGCCCAATCTCACCATTCCTCTTCAACTTTGCCATCGATGACATTCTGGAAACAACTCTGATGGATGTAAGTAATGGTAGTGTGGATTTGTTGCCTGGAGAAAGACTCCTCGACCTTGAGTATGCGGACGATATTGTCTTACTGTGCGATAACCCCCAAGACATGCAATTCGCGTTTAATCAGTTGGCAATCAGTGTCCGTAGGTATGGTATGTGCTTTGCACCTTCGAAGTGCAAAGTACTTCTACAAGACTGGCAGGATTCTAACCCTGTACTCACCCTGGATGGTGAGCAGATAGAAGTAGTCGAGAATTTCGTGTATCTGGGTAGCTGCATAAGTGCTGGTGAGGGTGTGAGTGATGAGATCAATGCACGTATAGTGAAAGCCAGAGTGGCTTATGCCAATCTGGGCCACCTTTGGCGCCTTCGTGATGTTAGTCTGGCCGTAAAAGGTCGGATTTACAACGCGTCGGTGAGAGCAGTTCTGCTCTATGCCTGTGAAACCTGGCCTCTCCTAGTTGAGGACGTTAGACGACTTTCTGCGTTCGATCATCGTTGTCTCCGAAGGATTGCTGACACCCAGTGGCAACACCATGTTAGTAATGCAGAGGTTCGGCATCGTGTGTTCGGGACATGTTCTACGAATGTCGTCCCAGAGAATTCCACGTCGTGCATTATTTACCGACGCTGGGACTGGTTGGAAAAAGCGGAGAGGTGGTCAGTATATGACATGGTGTCGTGGTATGAAAGAAAGCTGCAAAGGACTGGCTTCTGTCGATCCTTCATGACTCCCTGGTTGGGGTCCGAGAGATGGTGCAACACAGTGGCTAGAGACGTTATCAGATATGGCTCAGAATAGAAGCCAGTGGAGATCCTGTTGTAACCTTCTTTTACTTTCTTCATAAAAAGTGGTTCTGTCTCCCTTACCTGAAAGATTTCTTCCGATTGTACCTTTCCGTTCCCCCATTATGACTATGATTATTACTACACTCCCTTACACCAACCTCTTCATTATTGTTTTCTTTTACGTTCCTCTTTTTTTTCTTCTTAAATTCTCATTGTTTTGTGTGGCGCATATATATTTGGCGCACTCCTGTGCAAATATATATGTGTTCAAGTAAACAAATAAATACTCGTGACGTCCTTTAACATGTCCCGTTAACTCGCTCAACTCTAGGGATTGAAAAGATGCTATATTTAGTCCTATATTCAAAAGTGGTCAGAGACAGATCGCATCTAACTACCGACCTGTCAGTCTAACCAACATAGTCGTTCAGATCCCCTACTTTACCTTCTCTACGTCGATGAATTATCACGATTGCTTGAGTTGTCGACATTATTGTTTGGTGATGTCAAAATCTGGAGAACAATAAGTGAGGCTGATCAGTTTGATCTCCAAGCTGACTTAGACGAATTAGTTAGATGGGCTTGCGGTTGGGGCTTAGAAGTTAATTGTAGAAAGTGTGCTCATGCACATTGGGCATGGTAATAGACACCAGTATACTGTTGATGGTACATCTCTTCCGTGCGTGCAGGAACATAAATGCTTACGGGTAATAGTAAGTCACGACTTGAAAACAACTACATAATGCAATGCAGCAGCCGCAAAAGGGTTTCGTGCGTTATGGTCACTTCACCGAGCATTCAAATGCATTAGCGAGATGCTTCGGAATTTATATGCCACCTGTGTAAGACTACACTTAGAGTACTGTATCCAAGCAGCTGGTACATTTCTACTAAGGGATATTAACTCACTTGAGTGTGTTCAACGTCTGGGAGCAAAATTAGTGAAGGGTATTTTCAAACACCCTTAAAATGAGCGCTTAAATCGCCTAAACCTTTCCCCTTCATCGTATCGTGGAACGCAAGGTAACCTTAGTTTGTCATCCAGTATCCTTAATTACGATCTGGGCGTTAATATTTCTTATCTTTTTGCTCCCTCCAGCAATAATAATCTTCGAGGTCACAGCAAGAAGGTTCAAAAATCGCGATCTAATAAACTTAAAGTAGGGTTCTGTCTTTCTCATCGGATGGTCAGTGACTGGAACGCCTTACCTGAACAAGTAGTATCAGCCCCATCAGTGAACATTTTCAAGGAGAAACTGGACCTTCACTGGAAGGCACTGGGAGGATTAACACAGGTCCGCCAACCCATTATCCTTATTACTGAAAACTTAAAACATGTCTGACATCGAAATCGGTAAATTAAGATATTGGCATTGTTTAAATTATTTCTGAAGTATCTGAAACACATTAACAGACCTTAAGATTACTAATATGGTGTTGTTTCCTTTCTTTAGTTCGTTGAGTCACAACATAAATGATTATTTAACCTGATGTAAAGGACGTAATTCCTCATATGAATTATCGAATGAGAATTATTGAAGTTTTTGATTTAGGCCAATAAGCTATTTTGTAATCTATGTAGAAAAACAAAACCTACTTTCAAACTAAACGGTAGTTTGTTAACAAACTAGTTCACTCATTGGATTCTAGGAACACTGAAACAATGATTAATCTACCAAATCCAAATAGAGGTTGAGTGAATAAGTCGGTAACTGTCTGAATAAATGTGTTGAGTGAGACAAAGACCAACTACTGATTGATTTCAAAGTCAAGTCAACATGTCATGAAAACGGATAAGAATTTTAGGGTCGTGCAGAAAAAATTATCCTAAAACTAACTTCATCTTCTGGTTGTATAATAGTTGGGGCACCACTTGGAACGCTGATAACTACTGGGGCATGTCGCATCGGACAAACAAGTAGTTGATCTGGTTTCCTTGCATTGAATTGAACCTTCATCACAGGACAAGGAAATTGAAATGTTTGCTCACAAGCACTCGATAGTACATTCCAAATAGAGACTGTATTGTCAGTGGAAGCACTAAGAAGCTTTTTGCTGTCTCTACTCCAACTAGATAAATTTGAATACTGAATAGGTTATAATTTACCTTAGGGAACAAACTGGGTGTGCATGTGCTACCAGAACTTTGGAGATACGTCTTGTGACATGGTCCCAAATTTCTATTCTTCCATCATTGCATCCAATAGCTAAGAGACTTCCAACTCTATTGAACTGCAATGTTATTGCATAAGTGGCGCAGCCAGCGTCTTTACTCCCATCATCTTTTTTAATCCGTTCTAGGTAACCATCTGCAGCCTGAAAGATGAAGACCGAACTATTTTATTACCTCTGGATAGTTCTGATGAAACGCTTCTACAAAATAAAGCGTGATGAACCGTAAATTGTGAGCCTTACCTAGAAGCTCTAAATTCATTAAGAACGTAACGTACAAGTCGAAATGTCGCGTGATATATAAGTTTACACAAATGGTGCCAAATGGTTTCAAATGGTTCTGGATGAAATAAAAGAAGCTTTCGCTTAACAGGCTTTCGTATCTAGTATTAATGAATTACCGGTGCCTCCATGGGGGAACCTAGGTATATTAACGACAAAGGAGGGAAAAGTTAAAAGTTGGTAGATCATAGTAACATATGTCAAGTTTTCTCTTAAAGGCCCTCTGGGAAGTCTCTTGAACGAGCTCGGCAGGCAGCGAATTCCAGCATGTAACTACTCGTAAATGGTAGAATGCGTGCGTACAGTCCGTACGGCTATATTGTACATCCAGTTTCTGGGTGCTACCCATGAGTTTCGTGCTGGGTCTGAGTTTAAGTAGGTATTTGGGCGGATTTCCAGAAGTATTTGGCATGATGTGGGGCATTAAAAAGTCACTTCTAATGCTCTTGTACTCCAACGAATGGAGTGTAGCAGTAAATAAATCCCCAAAATAAAAAGCTCTTTAAGTCTTCGACATTGGATGCTGACCACATTAGCTTTAATGGACTCACCTAGCTGAAGGTGCTCGGTCATGCATCCGCACCAGATCACGAGTGGGGACGCTGTGTTCAACATCCCCTGCACTCGCTAGCCGGATTGGATCAGACGATCCACGATATATTGATAGCCTATAAACCCAAGTGTTGATGTACGGAAAATAACTGGTGATTTGGTCGCACAGTCTACCCCCAAGACTGTTCGTCCGGTCAATAAAGAGCCCAAGACTCAAAAACGCGCACTGACCTCCAAACAACAAGTTATTAAACCTGAGCCCATCGTGAAACCTGGTAAATTAACAACAGTTCGTGACGATTCTCTCATTATCATGAACCTCGTTGACAATCCTGATCTTCCTCTCAGTCTGCAGGACAAAAACGACAGGATGCTCTGGGGTGAATTGAACAAGAAGCTCGAACTTCCTAGAATAGAGCCTTTGACGGTCACCCGGCTCACTCGAGGAAAGGATTCTAAGCATCTAAATCACCCGAGGCTTCTCCGAGTAACACTTAAGAATGCTGCCGACGTAGAGGACGTCTTGCCAGCAAGTCACTTGTTGAAATCCGATGGTAACGTAAAAATATTGCCCGACATACCGTACTCTGAGCGTAATATCATACGGAACATCCCCAAAGAAACTCGCGATCAGTTTTTCCGCGGAAGAAACATAATTGTGCAAGGTATACTGGAAAATGCAGACCCTACTCAATCGAATTCTGACATCAGGGAATGGAAATTCATCAAACAGTCCTTGAGGCTCAAACACATACTGACTCAGCATGTGACGAGACTAGTCAAGAAGGACGGTGATCTTAGACCCCGTCTAATGAAGATAACCTTCCTATCTTCCCACATGGCAGCTGCAGTTCTGGAAGCATTTCGTGCCAACAGACATCGATTGCCACCTGGAATCCACATGCACCCGGATAGGCCATATGAGGCTAAGACCAAGCACAAAGGCAAGTTGGAGTTGACCATTCCACTTGTGGACTGTCTAAATGATAAAAAACGTGTAAAGGACAGGGCCTACCACCTCGGCAAACCTCATATAGGTGGGCTACCTGTCCATTCGCATAAGGCTCATACAGAAAAACAGGACGAAGCTCACGCGTTCCAAATTGAAAGCATAAACTGCTTATATATGAACGCCGCGAGTCTACCAAACAAACTGGATGAATTACGTGAACTTAGCAACGCTATTAAGGCCCATCTGATAGGAATATCTGAAACCCGGATATCTTCTCAGTTCTCGGACCAAGAGTTAGCATTGCCTGGGATGACTTTGTTCCGCAACGACAGAAAAACAGGAATTGGGGGCGGAGTAGCCATATACATAAGCTCTTGCTTGGAGGTGCACCAAGTTCACAATCTCGAGTTTAACAATCTTGAGGAATCCATATGGTGCTCTGTAAGATTGTCTAGTACTTCGAGGTGTCTAGTCGGAGTCATTTACAGGATGCCAACTGCCGATATCGAGTACGATAGTCGTATGCTGTAACGACTATCCCGCTCTACTCGTCTCGGTTTCACACACATCCTGATTCTAGAGGACTTTAATCTCCCTAGAGTCAACCTCATGGAACACACGTACACTGGAGGCGACAACTCAATTGAAGCTCGGTTCTTCAACCTCATCGATGACTTGGGCTTATATGAAAATGTGAGGTCGGCAACCCGTTGGAGAAACAGTCAGACACTATCGCGCTTAGACTGTGTATTCACAAACGAAGAATTCCTGGTTGACAACCTCTCAATCCTGGCTCCTCTGGGAAAGAGCGATCATGCCGTCAAAGCCTTCAGTTTTGTCATCAAAACTAGGCTAAGGTATCCCAACAATAATTAGCGTTTGAATTTTAAACGGCTGAATGTGCCAGCTCTACATGACTATCTACAACAGGTGGTTTGGGATGTTCACCCTCAACTCGATATGGATGGTCATTGGGACTTCTTACTGCACACGCTCTTATGTGCTACAGACCATTCAGTTCCTCAAACGGTTCCCAAAAGCTGCAAGCCACCTACAGTAATCAAGAACCGCACCCTTCGCCTGCTAAGCCCCAAAAGGCACTGTTGGGCGGAATACAAACGAACTGACAACGACGGAGCGTATAGACAATATAAACATATCAGGAACATATGCACGAAGGCTATAAGAGAAGACAGGCTTCAGTACCAAACAAAGCTTATGGACAAATTCGCCTCTAACCCTAGAAGCCTATTCTGTTATGCAGCCTCTCTTAGTCAAGCCAAAACAGGAGTTTCTCAACTGCTAGGTTTTAACGGCCCGACCAACAACGATGGCGACGCCGCTAACCTTCTGGCGGCACATTACTCTCAAACATTTCAACCGGCTGACATCAACATTACTGACGACAGTTTCATCTGCAATTCCACAGGACTTTCCGAAGTGAACCTAAGCGCTGACTTGGTGTTCCGGAAATTGCAGCACTTAAGACTAGATACTTCTCCTGGCCCGGATATGGTTCATCCTGCCATACTGAGGGAGGCAGCCTCAATCCTGGCAACGCCGCTTAGCGTGATGCTTTCACACTCGCTAAGTCAAGGCAAATTACCGGAAAATTGAAAGTTGGCTCACATCACACCAATTTTAAAAGGAGATTGACTCAGTGAACCTTCAAGTTATCGGCCGGTGGCTCTTCTGTTATTACCTTCAAAACTCATGGAGTCCCTGATATGCGAAGGTTTAAACAACTATCTACTGTCCCTAAATTTCTTCTCACCCCAACAGCATGGTTTCAGGAAGGGTTACTCTTGTATAACCAACCTGCTGACTGCAGTGGACAGATGGACAAGCATCCTCGATCGCAAGGGAAAGGTTGATATCATTTACCTTGATTTCTCAAAAGCTTTTGATAAGGTTAACCACTTGTGTCTTATCAATAAGCTCAAACAACTAGGTATCAAACCACCTCTAATCTCAGGCTATGGAATGTCCTAGTGGGGTCCCCCAGAGCTCAGTACTAGGGCCTCTTCTCTTCCTGATCTACATAAATGATCTTCCTCAACAGGTAACGTCAGACTTATTACTTTTTGCCGACGACGTGAAACTTTGGAGAGAGATACGCAACCAAGACGATATACAGGCACTTCAGGAGGATCTGACTCGACTTCAAAGTTGGGCAGATGATAACGGACTTACCTTTAACACTTCAAAGTGTAAAGTAGTCCATCTGCGACATGTCGCAAACTAGTTACAACTTAGGAAACTCCTCTCTAGTAGTATCCCAAGTCGAAAAAGATTTAGGCGTCCTGGTGCCCCATGATTTGAAGTCTTACGCTGTGACAAAAATGCCTTCCGAGCAAACCTTGCACTGGTAACGTTGAAGTGCATTTTTGGACAATTTGACGGACGAGCTTTCCATACAATCTTCAATAGTTTCATCCGTCCCCATTTAGAGTACGGAAACATAGTACTCCCCCCCCTCACTCCAAAAGGACAAGGTCACTTTGGAGCGTATCCAACGGCGAGCCACGAAATCAGTTCGAGGACTCAAATCTAAACCTAACGAAGAACGCCTCCATTCACTAGACCTTTACCCATTAGAGTATAGGCGTATTAGAGGTGATTTATTAATGGCTTATAGTATTTTTAACACTTCTGGACATCCTCTTAAACACCTACTTAAGCTTAGTTCGAATAATAACCTAAGGAGTAACACCCAGAAACTGGAAACACAAAATAGCAAGACGGAATAAAGACACAACTTCTACTTCTTAAGAGTTGTCAAAAGCTGGAATTCGCTGCCGGCCGAGCTAGTCCAAGCGACTTCTCAGGAGTCCTTCAAGAGGCAACTTGACCTATTCATAAGGACTAAGGACAGCACCACACTATGATTTACCAATTTCTTTTCCTCTTTTATTTTTAACGTACCTAGGTTCCTGCCTAGAGGATTTGGTGATCCCCAGCTACTAGACACGGAAGCCTGTTAAGTGAAAGCTTTTTATATTCCGTCCACAACCATTTGAACCATTTGAACCTCCTCGCTTCTGTATTTTCATTTCACTTGGTGGGTACGATTCATATTAGAAGGTGTTAATGGTTAAAGCGTTGTCAAACTCCAAATATTTGTGGCATCTTCAAGAGTTTCAGTGATTGGAGGCCCTTTCATAAGACTTGAATCTGAGTCCTCGAACTGATTTCGTGGCTCGTCTTTGGATACGTAAGAGTTCAGATTATGGGGTACCAAAACTCACAGATATTCTTCATATTGGGATACCCGTAGAAAGGAGTTACCTAAATTGTATTCGTTGTTTGCAACGTGTCTCAGGTGATCTACTTTTCACTTTGAAGTTTGAAAATTAAGTCCACTGTTGTCCGCCCAAATTTTAAGTCGATTCAGTTTCCCCTGAAGTGACAGCTAATCATCATCAAGGTGGGAAAAGAAGAGGTCCTAGTACTGAACCTTGTGGGACCCCACCAAGATATTCCGATACATCAAGTCAGAGCTCGAGTTCACGTCTG